CATTGGAAGAATTAAATCAAGCAACTATAAACCGTCTTTTTCCTAACTATTTGAAAGAAAACATTTTCAGTCCGTCATAAAAATTCTCAATGAGAATATAATAGCTACATTTATTTTGTTGGAAAAAAAATAATAACCTATATTAATTATCGTACCTTTGCTACCTCTGGGCTCATACATGAAATAATGTATTATATCTATGTTAAGAAGCACATGTTTTGAAAAGTGAACTATTGCATGTATATCGGGTCGGGTTCTTTTGATATAGCAAACTTAGAATACAAATATATCCCCTACAATAAAAAAGGTCACGTGACGATACATTTGTTGCACTTTACCTATTGTCGCCAGAGATGATTTGTATCGTCAATTATTGCACATATTGTCGTCCATTGGTACAGATGGACAACAATGATAATAAGTACCGAAACGAGCCTCTTATCCTCTGCAGAATAGGCAGAATACACCTTACATATCGCCGAATAATGCTGGCGATTTGGTATAGCCTGAAACAATATTTGAAGAATGTCTTACGAAGGTCATGAAGAGAGAGAGAGAGAGAAAGAGAGAGAATTCTTCGTCTTTTTCACGGATTTATTTCAATCATGTTATTGGGACCATGTTCCGTCTTGACAGTGTAACTTACATTAAATCTGGAGTTTTATCGCAGCTGCTTCATTAGAGCTATATGTAAAAGGTGAGGATAAGGAACGGTAACCAATCTCATAAATCCAGTAATCAAAACGAATCATAAACAGGGTAAAACACGGACCCCTGGGAGCACGGTCCTGTTGACAAGTCAAATCCGCCGTAAGCCCATGTATTGATCAGGTAGGTGATGATGGAAAAGTTGAGGTCATTTGGTTGTCATACAGTGTAGTTGTTAGTAGGCCATTTTCGTCTTTAACCAGTAAAATATGCAAAAATGAAAGAAGATGTAACAGACTCTGTAGTGTCTTTTATTTCGAGTTCACTGGGATATATCGAGTCGGCGTAAGAATGAAAGTAATTTTATTAATTGATTAAACATTGTCGATACAGCTAAATGTTGATTTGAAGGCCACAGCATAAAATGTCAACCACAGAAAGCATTGATTTCATTTTCAATGAATATACGAGCTATTGAAAACTCAAGATGTCTATTTTTGATATAATGATCATGTCCGTATTACTAAAATCCTAACGGATGGACAATACATGTATGTGCAGTTTGGTATATTATCACCGGCGACAATATGTATAGGACGAAAATATGTACCATCAGAGGGTGTAAATTGATATTTTCATATTGAGACATTTCTTTTAAACCTTTAGATATTTTGTTTACCTAGAAATGAATCTAAAAAAAAAAAAGAATCCAACACTTATTGATAGCTGAAGGCTTCCAGAAAAAAATATGCAAATGAGACACTGTATTGTTGTTGACTTTACATCAGAAGTACAACAATATCAATTTTTATATATTAAAGGAAGTTATTGACGAGTGTTGACGGTCCATCTCGAAATACAATGTACATGTCTCGGACCCCCGAGTCAGAATTCCAGTCTAGTCCGTCGCATTTTTCACCTTTCTTGTTACATTTTTTGCCGTGCCATGCCATAGAAGTGAGAGGTTAAAGACCTGCCAAGGAAGAGAGAGGTTTGATGTCTTCGGGGACCGAAGACCTTTAAGGAGAAAGGAATATAGCGGTCAGACGGGTTCGATCGCCGGTGGCCACATAGCTCAGTTGGTAGAGCACCTGACTGGAGATTCAAAGAGGTTTCTGTTCGAATCCCGGTCTGCCCCGTCGCATTTTTCTCCTTTCCTGTTACAGGTTGATATGGTATCCATATATAATTTACTAAATTATTGTATCAGCAATAATTAATTTCATGAAATATGAGAGGTAACGAACAGTAATCAAGCTCAAAAGTCGATTGAAATAATACAGATTAGAAGCACAACAAACACGGACCTCTAAAATCATCGAAGTGGAATCAGGTGCCATGGAGGAGTAAGCATTTCCTGTCGGCAGGTCATACCTGCTGTGTGCTTCTTATGATCGGATATACGGAAGAATCCGTAGACATTTTAGTGTGAAAATACGTAATAGTATAACAATTTGTATGAAAACGTCAGTCAACATTCGATTGTATTTTTGACCATAGAATTTATGAAAGTGTGACTTTAAAGGAGATACCCTGGTAGTCGACTTATTTGTGAGTAGCTTGTCTCGTTTATGATATTCTTTTTACACAAAACTGTGTTCTTTCGCATCGAAGCAACTGGGACATAAACTCTATATGCAGGTGATGATGGCAAAGTTGACGATAGGAAAGTTGAAGTCATCACGTTTGTCATCAAGTTTAGTTGATAGTTTGCCATTAATGTTTTTCTCTTAGACTAGTAATATATCCAGGTAGGTAACAGACTGTGGTAACTTTTATTTCGATTTCAAAGGGAAATAACGAATCAACGTAGGAATGAAAACGAATACTGTTAATTGATAAAACATCGTCCATAGATATAAATCTCGATTTGAAGGCCACAATAAGAGACTTCCTCATTACGTGTAGAAGTTTTTGAATAAATTCTGCTTCATGAAATATGGAGATAACGAACAGCATTCAAGCTGAAAGTTCATTTAGAGAACACAAATTGGGAGCAAAGCAAACATGGACCTCCAAAAACATCAGAGGCGGGATCAGGTGCATCTGAATACAAAAACTTACCCAGCCTCTGGTTTAAGTTTGTTACTTATTTTTAATTTTTTTTAAATTTGCAATACACATAGTGAGATAAGTGTTTGTAACACTTTATTCATCCAAAATAGTGACAAACGATCAGTGATGCACACATTCATGGAAGGTCTCTATATGTAGCAACAGAACACAAATTAAGCAATAAAACAAATGCTTTGGAACAGGTACTGACGTGAATGATTATTTTATTTGAATCATGCAAAATAAACAGCAGTAAAATGTTTTCTTGTGTAAGATATAGACAATTATGAACTCTCTTATGAAATATGAAGATAACGAACAGTATTCAAGCTCAAAGTCCATTAAAACAATACAAATCGGGAGCAGAGCAAACACAGACCTCCAAAAACATAAGAGGTGGAATCAGGTGCCATGGAGGAGTGAGCATCCCCTGCCGACCGGTCACGGCCGCCGTGTGCTCTTTGTTATGATCGGTATATAACGGAAAAATCCGTCGATAATTCAGTGTGTATATAATGGCCTAACAATTAGTATGAAAAACGTCAGTCAGCATTTGACCTAATGATAGATTGTATTTGCTTACAAGGTCATTGTATCGACCATTGAACTTACCAAATGATGACATAAAAGGAGACTGTTGATATTCTTGTTTTATCAACTTATTTGTCAATAACTTATCTCGTTTTAGAAATTGTTCATACGTTAAGTATGCCCTTGACTTTTCTATAACAAAATACTTAACAAAAAATCGTGACATGACAACGCCACCCTCCCCAAACAAGAAGCCAATAGAAAATGTTTTGAATCTAAGATTGCTTTTGGGTATCAATACAGATCCTTAAAGGTATCAAAAAAACCCTTATATAACTTTATTGAATTAATAACTTTTGGATCGGTGTCTTTCGTAAGCTGCAATTTCCATAATTCGGTTAGAAATACGAAAAGCAATTAGACACCTCCAACTTTTACTAATACAAAATCTTTAATGACCTACGTCAGGCCACGGTTTTATGAAACTGCCAATGCTATCCCGAAGTGTGTACTGGCTCTGTGCAGATTACAACTGATTATGTTCTATCCGATTTTCTTTATCAATTGATTATTGTAATCATTCTCAGTCCTTGCAGTCTCCTATAGGTTTAACTTTTCTCCCGAGATATATGTTTGTAAAAAGTTGGCATTAATGAGTCCATTAAATATTTGCGATTGATATAGACAAAATAATGTTATATGCAAATGAAAAAGGGGATTTAAAAAAAAGGAAACATAAATATTTTGGAGATTTCTAATTCGGTATCCCTGAAAAGTCGATTGTTATCATTCGCAAAATTCCAACACATTCATTGAATTTTCAAATGTAAATAAATAAATAAATGTAAAACCAACGAAGCAATAAAAAATCATTGTTTAAAATATATTTCACATTATTCAATATGACAGAATTACAGAGGAAATTTTTGTGAAAAAAAATTAAATACATATTTCCCTTATTTAATCTATAAGGAAAAGTGAAGAGATGATTAAGTAGTCATTTGCATAGTTATGTTTACATGTAGTAAATTGTAAGGGAAAAACTTTAATATCCGTGTGCTTTTGACAATTTTATGATTATCTGTATTTTTCACATGGCAAAAACATTGCATGATTTTATAAATTCCCTATTTCTCTTCATTCAAAGCTACAAACATTATCGCTATCTCAATTGAAAACTGTCACAGACCTTTCATACATTAGATCAAAAAAAAAAAAAAAAAAAAAAAAAAAAAAAAAAAAAAGAGAAAAAAATGTAAAGCCAAAATAAATAGAGAAAATGTATTTCCTAGAAGAAACACATAAAGTGTCACAGCCCATGGTATTCATCCTCATCCACGCAATTTGTTTTTTTTCTTCAATATTTCGGTGGTTCTTAAGGCTTCAAGTATAAATTATACATGGCAATCACTATCTGCTGATGAAACATCATACAAGACACTTATAAAGGTATATCATTCATGTGCTTAAAGCTTTACTTTTTAAATGAAAAATATTCTTCTTGAGAACCAATGGCTAAATTCAAGTATTTTTATGCATTATCCGATATCAAAGAAAATATTATTGGCTTTGCATGCGAAGAATTAATTTTGATTCTTGATTTTGACAGATTTCTCAATCACAATTTAGAATCTCATCAGAGACGATTTATATATACAGCTGTACAGAAAGAATTTCCCCCTTTTACAAATTATCGAACATTCCGATATATAAATTCTTTGCACCTTTCACTAGCATCTTTATTCGAAGAAGCTTTTCATCACACGGCAACCGGGTTTGATTATTGATAAACAGGGTAAAGGTAAGTAAGGATAGCAATACATTTTTAGGATTTTACAAAACTAAAAACGAATGATAATAAATATTATTGTGTCGGGTATAAACAAAACATAAGGATAATGATTATATTAGTTTAAATTTGAATTGGTTAATTAAGAAAAAAAATGAAACATGAAATGAGCAATAGTATATAATTTTGTAATTTTTCCAAAGTTTTTTGTTTATTATTCGTTTTTAGCTTAGTGTAATTTGTATATGTTAAATTTCGAGGAAACGAAACAATTTTTTTAAGTTTAAAAAAAAAAAGAATTCTTAATAATAATTTATAGCGATTAAATTAATAACATATATTTATAAAAAATAAGGTTTTATGAATCAAATTTTCAAACATCTTTTGCTATTTGAAAAAAAAAGTTCCATTAATCTAAAGAGGAACCTTGGTAAGAGAACTGATTTTTTTTATAAAGCTGACAGAACCAGGCAAATAATGTAGAAGTTAAAATGTCATTTATTCATAATATGACGAATATAAACTGGCACAAAAATGGGGATCATAAAAAATAACTACAGAACCACTGCTAAACACAATAGTATTTTTGGTTAAGTAGCATACAATCACAACCAAAATACACTTGAATTTTAAAAATGATATCATTTTTTTTACCTTTAGTAGTAGAACATCGAATGAACTTTTACTTTAATAATTGCCTGTCGATCCTTTATCTATGATAAAAAAAGGCGAAGATAACTAAAATTGATCGATCTTAGAAAAAATACAAACAATACAAATCTGCGAACAGGGCATAAAACACGGACCCACGAAAATTCCAGAGGTGTCTGTATGCTATTCCTCCTACAGTTCTGATCCCTTTAAAAAGACTTGGAACACAAGCTTACTTCAGGACATATAATTATGTATTCCAATGATTTCGATGACCGGTAATGTCTGATTACAAAAGATATAGACATTTCTAAAAAAAAAAAAATAATTCAATACTCTGCTTTTCCCGAAAGTGCGATGTCAATAAAACGTAATTCTATTTATAAGTTTTCTTTATTTCAATGAGCGATTTGTAAAGGTTACTAAAATAGTATAATTTTATAAAATTCTTTCAAAACGTGCTCCTTCTGCCTACCCCTTTTATTGCAGAGATGTAATCTAGGTCCTAATTTTAGTGGAGTTTCAGAGACAAAAGTCATATCTTTTATAGTAGTAGTTACCTAGTTTGATGCCTCACTGTGATTCTATATAATTTGAACTAATCTGTATCTGTTTTAAGGAAGTGCGTAAAACCGTTTTCAAATCATTTATTAAGGTAGTTCCATGTGTTGTAAAATACAGCATCTTAATGTCTTAAACTTATTAGAACCCCCTCTCTTACATGTAAAGAAGCATTTGATCGATTGCTTGCATACATGTATCATGGCTAATTTAAAGTCTTTCCGTAGTATTACTAACACAATTTCACAAACAATGTCTGTTTAATATTTTAAATTTTGACAGCGGGAAAAAAGTCGCTGTAAAAGATATAAATTATTACTTTTAACCTCTATGGGACACAATATCAATTCGCTATATCTGTAAATTCGTTATATAAAAGTTCGCTATAACCGTAGAATTTTATAAGGAATTGTTAAGCTTTTTGCCAGGGATAGCAAAAAACTAAGCTATATCCGTAAATTCGCTAAAATAAATGTGTACGTTCTTTACAACTTTTACTGAAATAGGTTAGGTATGTACTTTACTTCTTTCAAAATTTCGGCATGCACTGAGCGTTTAAGTTTAAGAACAATCTTAGTTTTGAAACACATGTAATTCATAACATGCTGTCTTTAAAAAAGTAGACCCCCTTTATATACATATGTATGATAATTTCAAATGTACCAGAGAACGTATGGGACCAGAGCGCTTTGGATTAAAGTTTGAGTTTTTTATCTAGATTTGGATTTCATATGTTTAGATATATGCATATATATAAAGCTTCTCGTGTGCATATTTAAAGGTACTTCTTAAACTCAAAAGTCAAAAGCGGGTCTAACACCGGGCGTGCCCCCCCCCCCCCCCCCCCCCGTTTGAATTTTTTCCATGTAGAACTTATATGTTCATTATATTAAAATCAAGGAAGAATAACACCTCTCATTTGTAAGAATTCGTCCCCGGACCCCCATCAGGGCTTTGCCCTTGACCCACTGGGGGCTTCAATATAACCCCCCAGAACCCTCCTGCCTTCTACTGCGCCCCCCCCCCCCCCCCCTTATGAAATTCCTGGATCCGCCACTGAAAGTAAGTCGTTTTAAAAAAAAAATCTATATAATACCGTTTTGGCTATAACATATTGATTTTTATGACGTAACAGTGTAATTACTTTATAAGTGATAAAAGAGGAAGAAATATGCCAAGAGCGGAAGGTTAGGCAGGTCTTAAGTCTGAGCCGATAACACGCGGAACACATTCACAACACCAACGTAGACAGAAACATCTTCACAACAAATTGTGGACATGATAAGTAAATGTAGAGTAATGTGTGGAATTATTCCTTCCTATAGTGTAGCTCAGACAAATAAAACTTGTACAAAATTAATTTATTGCAAGGTCCATAATATAATATTTAGAGAATAATGCTGCTATTATAATGAAAGGGAATAATCTCTGATTCAAATAATTGCTACACCTCCAACAGTTTAAATAAAGCCAAATAGAACTTCAGAAAACATCAAGATACATAGTTTAGTCAATAAGTGTTACAAAACACTTAAATAAATAAATCAAAAGTGTTACAGTACAGGTGCAACGTTTCCCTGAATATTATAAGTGTAGACCAGTAGTGCTACAATCACTTTAGAGATTTCTGGTTTCAGAGATTTTTATAGGGTTAAGATTGAAATTATTAAGGTAATCTCCATAAAAATTATATAGCTTTTCTCGGAAATACTTCAATCTTTCTTGAGGCATCTAATAATAATAATTCTAAACATTTATATACAAATAAAATTCTATTATAGAGACACATTTCCTTATGATAACTGCAGCCTGTTTACATTGACATAATTGATTTTATTACAAGACTTTATAAGGTAAGGCCCCAGGTACATACTAGCAAAAATTCCGACCATCTCTGATGATTAACCATGGGTTTGGTATTTTGTACAGAAAAGAATACTTACAATTCACACATTCAAATCTGACACATCGAAATCGATCCGTTTGCCTATATAATGCAAAATAATTCTTTATTAACTTCTTAATCATTTACGTATGCAACAAACAAACAAGGAATGTGGAATTCGTGAGATCTTTTTTCCTAACAAAGATTTTAAATGTTTAAACAGAGGATGAAAGAATTTAAAATTTCTGAAGTGCTATTCAGATTTTTGTCTTTAAGGTTTCACTTATAAAAGGGAGGAATTAATCTCATGTTTGTCAATTCAAAATCACATAAAACATTTATAATTTTTAGGTCAGATTTTTAGGTTACAAATGTCAATTTACTCCATCTGAAATCGACATATTACGCGTAGTGTCAAATGTCTATCGTTGATGCTTCCTGCTTGACTTTGAAGTTGAATCTGGTACTCTAATCCATTGACGAATATTTAGGATGGTTTGCCTCAGAGAAAACAAGGAATTTGTGACGATAATGATTATTTTTCTAGCCTAATATTGATGCTATATATTGCCATTATGTTGAAATTGTTTTCGGATATTAAGACATTCTGCAATATCACAGGATGTAACAAATATCCTCCAAATACACAAAACTAAAGTGCACCCTGTCCTCGTAACTTATATAAATGTAATTAAAGTATGAGATATAACCATAGTGTTTTATAATTTTTTTGAAACTTTAAAATTTTCGAACCCCCCCCCCCGATTTTTAAAGTAAAAAATATATAAAAAGGAGTAAAAAATTTGTTGTGTCAGTCTACGAGTTCCTTAATTTCTTAAGAAATTGTGTACACACACACACACACACACACACACACACACACACACACACACACAGAGAGAGAGAGAGAGAGAGACCCTCAAAACGTTACGATACAATTTTTCTTTTCGAAATGTGTTTATCTTTTGGTTCATATTTGTGAAATTCACAATTTAAGAAGACTTTTTAAAAATGATTTTAATACATTTTATGATCTCAATATATGGTCAAATTCATAGGTAAATCAGAAGATGAAAGCCATTTTTTCTCTTGCTGTCCTCTCAGTTACAATCCTAATTATAGACGGAGAACATGACGTAAGTATTCTTTCTACCAACATTATCTCAAGTATTATCTATAGCCTAACATTATTTATAGCCTAACATTATCTATAGCCTAACATTATTTATAGCCTAACATTATCTGTAGCCTAACATTCAAATAATAATCCTTTTGAAATTCCTTCTTTTTAGTTTACCAAGAACGTACCACCTTTAAAACCCACCTTTCTTAACTTCCTTTTTTGTTTTGTTGCGAATAATTTTACCTCTATGAACTATCTAAGTTTCATAAAAAGTTCGTGTATTGATGTTTTGAAATAAGAAAGTTCCCTCTGGATATGACGTGCATGCATAAACATAAATAAATTAAGCTGTTTATTTACTATTTAATTAAAACGAATGCTATCTTTTTCTAGAAACTGTTGAAGCCTCCGAAAAGTAAGTTAATACAATGTTTCTCAAATGTATTTTTGGATACTTAGCTTGTTGGTTTTTTTTTTTTTATAAATATAAGTAAATCTAACCAGATGAATTTAGATTTCAGAAATGGGTCTTCAAAGATAAACGTGTCTCCATTGCTCAGAAAAATCAGTATGTATATCATACTAATTTCTTTTTCTTATTTAATATTGGGATGATGTAAATAACAAACTAATCTTAATTCGTGAGATCATTTCATGGACATACCGAATTTTGATACAATGTTGAAATTTCTCTCTTTTTTTGTTGTTTTTTAACGATAGAAATATAATTTAATCGTGAACTTAGTGTTAAAACCTAATTGCATATTCTTCTTTCAACTTTTTTCACAAAATATCTTACGACGAATAAAAACCAAACTGTCAAATTCTCCTACAACATGTGGTATCTAAGCAGTATTAAGTAATAGATCAATTGTTCTACTGCATTAGAATATATTCTGAATAATCTTTTAGAGAGAAATAATTATATTTATTACATTTTCAACAGTGAAATACTGTGATTTATTTATTGAATAAAAGTGATATTCTCTCACAGTGTGAAAGGATACCAAAAATGATATTCTCTCACAGTGTGAAAGGATATCAAAGTAAGTAAAAAATAATTTCTGGCCTGTCATAAGATAGAGACAGTAACTAAGCATCTTGATAGAGCTAAGACTGCAAATATGTTGCTAAAATCCATGCGAAGTAATGTTTTCAATCAAACAACTGCTAAGCTATGACGTTTCAACTGCTCAACTATGACGTCAAGTCTATGACACTGTGTTAAGAAAAGACAGAGGCAAAGGGAAAATCAAAGAAAATGTAATAAACAGAAAATTCAATGTTTTGTAGATGAATATGGAATTTATTTCACTCGTGAGACACGATTTTTTTTGTATTTTCACTCGTGCTTCGCACTCGTGAAAATATCAAAAAATCCTGTCCCACTCGTGAAATAAATTCCATATTCATCTACAAAACATTGAATATCCTCTATGTACATGTAAAATCGAAAAATTACAGTCTACAAGTTTTATCATAATAGTAAGAATTTTTGTGAAGAGGTCCAAAGATTTATATAATTTTGACTCTAGGGCAAACAAGTTTTTTTTCAGATTTCTTTGAATTATCAAATTAAATGTAATGATAAATCTGTGTAAATTACCACATTCGTTTTAAGGAAGTTCTACTTTGGAGCAAGAACTTTTTCCGGCATCTGATAACAAACAAAGTGATGCATCTGATGATGAAATTGGAGCCAAATTAATGGACGATTTCATATATTTTCTAACATTAAAAGGTACACTTTCTTGATGCAAGTTATATGTACAGTGTTTATTCACAAATGATTTTATAAATGTTTAAATATCGATTATTGATTTCGTATAGTATGGCATAGTATTGCTTTATACTTTACGCATTTTATATTTCAGATTCAGGACTGCTTGATATGTGCCTATCATTTCGAAAATGACGACAACGACCAAAATTTTAAAGAGGACAAACAAGCCAAAATATGTCAATGTGTGAAGAGTTTGCTTCAAAATATACTTTAATTTGATTGTGGATTTTATTATGGTTTTTTGTCAGTTAAAATAATTAAGGTTTATTTTAAATAAATGGCTTGTAATATCACATTAAGTTTTACTTTTAAAGCCCGCCAGACTTATTTTTTTGCGGTACAGTTATGATTATTTTGATTACAGAGTATTTGAAAAAATAAACACTAACAAAGATAGTTTACTTTCTATTACACTAAGCAAGTTTGCATTCAGCCGTTCAGCATATTTTTAAAATATATAATTGAAAAACAATTCCAACATTAATTACCAATTTTAGTAAAAAAAAATTTAAATTTCATTACATTTGAAATTTATATCTATTAAAAGCCCTGGTCAATATTAAAAGTACAGTGTTGTATAGAATCTTGAAGAAAGCAGAAACTGGACCAATTTGATTAAATTCTGTAAATAAATTCCTTTGTCAGAAGAGCAAGCTTAACACCGAAAATAATAATAATGGCAATAAAAACCTCGGGGTGTGTTTATAAACCTGTCTCTTATTACTTAACCATTGACGTCAAGACTTATAAAAATCGTATTTCCTCAGATTAAATTTTCTTACTTCACCCTGATTACATGAACACCACTAATACATGTGTTATTATACTCTGGTAATAACATTAGTAGGTTATATACATGCACTTTATTTTAGGTCAGCCTAAAACTAAAATAGGCCAGAAAAGTGTCAATATTTCATCATAATAAGCACTTGATAGAAGGAAGTAAAGTGGAATACATTAATATATGTATTTCTTTATGATAAAGATGATGACTTCAACTTTTCTACGTCAACCTACCTTATCTATGTAACAATATACCATTATCATTGCGTGTGGAGCTTTTCTCTCTGTGAAGCATATTCTATGTACAAATAATTTATAGAACGAGGAAGGCTATTGACAAATAAGTGGATTACACAAGGATATCAACAATCTTGTCTGAAGTCAACATTTTTCAAATTCTGTGGTCGACACAATGACCTTGTTTGCAAATACAGTCTGTCGTTATGTAGATTGTTGGCCAAGGTCTTTCATACAAATGATTAGGCCACTATTTTCTCACTGAATTGACAAAGGATCTTCCCGTTAATATTAATGTAACGTGTACTTAATAAATAACGTTTTTCTAAAGCAAAATTCACACTGCATTGACAACAGATGTTTCCGTTTACCTACGCGTCATGACAAGGCGCACGCGGTGGGTGTAACCAGTAGACAAGAGATGCTTTTTCTCTATGACATCTGATCCCACCTCTGTTTTCAGATGTCCTAGTTGGCTCTGCACATAATTTGAATGGTTTAGGAAGACTATTGAGAATGATAACTGTTCGTTATCTTCACATTTCATTATGATATGAAAATCTGCAAACCGAAGGCAATCTCAGTCGGTAGATCTTTTATAGCATAATTATGATGAAGAAAATAAAAAGCTTATTATTTTGAAATGAATAACTCTGTTCTATTAAGTATGCATTAAATACAAGATTCTAAAGAATTATGCGTTTTATTTGTCAGCTTTTTCATCTATAATAAAGAATCTCGTCCTTACCTTTTGCTGGGTTCTGAAAGGCTTTCCCAAGGCTACGTGACAGTATCAAAGTATAAAGGGTATTGATGAATGGCTCTTTGTATTTTAGTTCCTGATAAGAGCTTAATCAAGATACAGATCCGTGACAAATTTAAAAAGATTCTGTTTTCTTTGGATTTCAGTTTTATTTTTTGTGTTATTATTGTTCTGAGAACCAATGCCATTTGTGAACATATATCCAGATATGCTTTGATAGACCAGATTTTCATAATGTGGTTTCAAAACTACAGATAACCTGCATTTAAGTTCGAAATAGCCCTGGGCATAAGATTTGTACTAATAGGGATAATATTTTAAATAGGAATAGATTTTGAAAAATCTACATGACAATCTCCCAGAACAGCAGTGACACATTAAGCTAAATCTATAAAAACGATCTTGGGTCGAGGCCTCTGCTGGTGGACTGTTAGTCCCCGAGGGTCTATACAGCCCAGTAGCCAAGTACTTCGGTACTAGCTTAAAAATACGGATCTATGTATTCAATTACTGTGGTAAAATTAAAACATTTATTTCAAAATTAAGGATGATCTCCCTCATGCATAGTTCTGATCCTTCGACGTATTTGGCGCCAGTCTTTGGCACCTTTTCTCGGCTCTTCAAAGTCTTTTTTATTTAAATATTTTGGATTTCCAAAGTTTTGGCTTGAGCATCACTGAAGAGACACAACCTGTCGAAATGCGCATCTGGTGCATCAAAATTGGAATCGTATATGATTTACATTCCATACTAATTCCTTCAAATCATAGCGGAGGGGCTATTGAGTCCAGTCCTTAACAGAGAATCATATTTTCATCGAAAAATATAGGAAAAATCTTTCTCCTCTTAAAAATAAAAAAGGGAACACAATAAGTCAAATAAAGAATCATAAAGTATATCGTTTCAGTTTCTTTCAATTCATGCCCACAGGTTCGGTATATGGCTAACATAGGGGGGTAAGGGTTAGGTCTTATATAGAAAAAGATATATTTTAATATAAAATTTTTAAAATATAATAGGATTTTTGGAGGATAGCAATTCACAGGAAAAAAATCCATTAAAGGCGTTGATTGTAGTGGTTGAAAATTGCTGAAAATTGAACACCTGAAATATCAGCACAGCTCTTAATACTTTAGTTACCTCCCTATAATCAATTACCGCTTATTATTCTCATACTCACAACCACTGTCAACTCCTAAGATAATGCAATTTTACTCTTTAAACATTTTCCAAAAACTTCAACCACCATCAAATTTTCAATTATCTAATTATCCGGTTAATGAAAAAGGTGAAGCTTTAACAGTTTCTTAGAATATAAGCTACTTAGGGAAAAAGATTTGTGTTAGAACGCATTTTGAAAAATTACGCACTTAGAATGTTTTTTCTTCAAAATGCGTTAAATTTAGGTAGGACCAACTTAACGCACTTTGAAAAATATATTTCTTTTCAAAGTGCGTTAATATCGACCATATCAACGCATATCAACGCACTTTGAAAAAAATGTTCATGGCTTAGTCAATATTCTTGGAAATTTCAGGTATGATAAATAATTATTTGAACCTGGTTGGAAAACTTTTCGGAGATGACGTCACTTCAGGATCTGAGATATAGACGTTAGAAGATTTTTAGGGATTGTCTTGTTCCCAAAGGTTCTCGTAAATGTTATAAAAGGGAAATGGGTCTTTTATAAATACTGGAGGGACAAATATATGTAATGTTTACAGAGAGATTATCAGATATGGTGACAGATGGACATCTGAGTACAGTTTAGTAAAGGTCATTAATTGTTTGATTTTTATGGCAATGAACATTAATGAACTTTATTAATTTTAAATGAACTAAAATCCACTGAACTAAGGATTACCCTATACTTTTTATTGTATTTAGAATTTTCTAGTTTGTTTCTTCAAATATGATCCTTAGGGATACGAGAAATGCGACAAAATGTCCAAGTTTGTATGCTCATTGAAAATAATTTTACCGCACAATATGCTGGTCTTTTTATAGTTATTTGATAAGTATTTAGAAGTATGAAAAAATGTTTATTCACGCACAATATGGTGGCCTTTGAAACTTTTATTTGATTATATTAAGAGGTATGAAAAAAAAATATTTATGCACTACAATTTTTTTTATTTGTATTGTATTTTATTTTGTAAAGATACTTTGGTGAAAGTATAGTCAGTTGGCTATTGTTGCTTAGATCAGCGATATGGCCTTTGAGCCTCTCTTCTTAAATATAATAGGGTGCGTTATTTTTTTCAGGAAAGGTTATCTCAATTTTTTTTCATCTATTTAACTTAAACTCAAATTTATTGAGAGGCAGTATATCACTGTCGTACCAGTTATGTAAATACATTTATTTGAGAAGGAAAGATGAAAAATTGGTCTGAGAAACCTTCTACCTGTCTTCTTCTCGTTCTCGATGAAGGTAGATCAATTCAGTTTTTCGAAAGTAATACAACAAAATAATACTGTCCATTACTAAAATCTAAGTCCAGAATTTTTGTTTTATACATTTTCTTTTTCATTCAAAGTGCAGTAAGCGTCTCCATGGTAAAAAAAAATGTCGATATACACTCTTAAATTTTTTTTGGTTGATTTTGTCCCAAATTTATCGCACATTTTTTTCAAAGTGCATAATAACTGTACATATCGACGAACAATAGCATTTTTATTATTATTATTATTATTATTATTATTATTATATATATATATATATATATATATATATATATATATATATATATATATATATATATATATATATATATATAAAGCACCTTAAACTAGCAAAACTGCCCTGAGGGAAGTAATATAAAACATAGATGAAATATATGGAGATATCGAACAGTATTCAAGCTTAAAAGTCCATTAAACAATACAAAATAGGAGCAGAGCAAACACGGACCTCCAAAACATCAGAGGTGGGATCAGGTGCCATGGAGGAGTGAGCATCCCATGCAGACCGGTCACATCCGCCGTGTGCTCCTTGTCAAGATCGGGAAATAAGCGAAAAATCCGTCGACAATTCAGTGTGTAAATAATGGCCTAACAATTAGTATGAAAATCGTCAGTCAGCATTTGATTCAATGATAAATTGTATTTGCTGACAAGGTCATTGTATCGACCATAGAGTTTACGAAATGATGACTTTAAACGAGACTGCTGATATTCTTGTTTCATCAACTTGTTTGTCAATAACTTACCTCGTTTTAGAAATTGTACATATGTAGAGCATGCTCTTGCGTATCTAATCAACTGAGAGATATAAACCCCGTGTGCAGGTGATGAAGGTATATTGCTGCATAAGTAAGGGAAGTTGACGATTGAAAAGTTAAAGTCATCACGTTTATCATAAAGCTTGGTTGTTAGATTACCAAAACGTCTTTTACAAGTAAAATATCCAAATATGAAACAGACGTGTCAGACTCTGTGGTATCTTTTATCTCAAGTTCACCAGGACATATCGTATCGACAAAAGAATGGAAATAACCATTGTTAATTGACAATACGTCGTTGATATATCGAAATGTCGAGTTGAAGGCCACAGCAAGTGTTTTCTTCTTTTCACGTATAAGATTTTGGACAAATTCTGCTTCATATGAATATAAAAAAAGGTCTGCTAATAACGGGGCGCAATTGGTACCCATGAAGACCTGGTCTCCAAAAACCACATAGATATTGTCGATCAGAAACTCAAGCATCTTTTTAATGTCAACTTCAGAGTACTTGTGTGTGCAATCAGAATGTTTTTTAACAAAATAATTTTGCAAATGACCATTGACAAGGTGAGTAAATTTACGTGTTCCATTTTTATTGAAAAAGCAGATGTCAATGATATCAAAAAGCCTGCACTTTAATTTATCTTGGGGAATGGTTGTGTATAAAGTTGAAAAGTCGTAAGTTTTTAAGCTGTTGATTTTGGTAAAATCTTGTGATTTCAAATTTTCCAAAAGTTCATTGGAATTTTTAAATATCCACCTCTGATTTACACCACTTCTCGAATATATCGTTGTACAGTACTCTTGAAGTTTCTCCTTCACTACTGTTAATTTCTTAGTGAGGAGTAAAGAAAAGAGGCTTGGTTGAACATTTACTAGAACCCGCTATGTATCTTTGTTTGTAAGGATTTTTATGAAGTTTCGGAATCCAATATACATATGGTAATTCAAATTCATTTTGGATGTTTGGAATATAAAAAATATTCAAAACTGACATATGATTTTGAAGAATTTTTTCCTTAGAAAGGGAACTATGAGAATAAGTTAGATTACCACTTGTAGAATTAAATCCAAGTTCCTCTAAAATACATTTAATAGAATGAGCCTTACAAACAAAGTCAATGTTGTTACCTGCTTTGTCAGCAGGGACCAGTACGTACTGATCATGTAATCTATCATATAATAATCTATAATAATCACTTCTGGATTATTGAATACAGAAGGATAGATGGTTCTCATATTGCCCCTCAATCTTTTAATGCGCGATTTTAACATACATCTGATACATTTAATCCATTCTTTCAAAGTGTCAAGGTCTTCTTTTTCCTGTCTGGCCCATCGTCTGGCGTAATCCTCTACAGAATCCATAATATTTATGAAATTCCGACGCACGCCAGTTGAAGGATCGGGGTTCCCTATATTTAGGACCTTTTAAAATGAGTGATCTAAGGTCCTCATTATTAACTATATATTTACGTCACCAGTAATAACGTGTCCAGCAGGACTATAGTTATAGGGTGAAGAAGAACATGAACACGATGGAGGATTATGTTTCAGATATTCGATATCCAGGCCTTGTAAAGTTTTCTTGTAATTAAAAAGTTTGGAAGGAGTAGTCAATGTATATTTGTAGGAAATACAAGGTGTAGTCTTTAACTTGAAATATGGTGGAATACAAGACTGGACCCTTTTGTGATTAAGAATATTACTTATATTAACCGCGTCAATTCCTTTGTTGGCATATTGAAGTTTAAGGAAAAAACGGATTGTTTTAGCTGCCTTTTCTTTAGTAAAACGTGGGGGTTGAAAAAGCCTATGATTTGCAATATCCATAATGACAGATCCGAGCCTATATTTTGGTGTCGAGGAATCAAAAAATGGACTTTCCTTGACCTTTTCAAGAAGACTATTTAAAAGTTTCAAAGAGACAGAGTAAAGTTTGGTGCGAATATGATGTAGACCTTACTGTTGATTAACGTAAGGTAGTAATGAATCAAAAGAGACATCGTGTATTAAAGGTTTATTGTAAGACCGATGCCCATGACTACGCTTACGTCTCTGTATATGGTTAAAAAGTCCCATTACATTTACATTGCTACACTGTGGACTGGAAAGATTTCCAACACTATCGACATTGTCATTACATCCATAGGGAAAGGCTGTTCCTAGTTTTCTAATCCAAAATTCTTCTCGTTGTCTACGGAAAGGTGTACTCAGTGATGGACTGTTTGTGTGGTGGTAAATCTTTTCTAGAATTCTAACTTTCATTGACAAAATAGAATGATCAGGTAAATTACAATGCTTGTATAAAAGCTGCTGACCCCCATTATTTATCTGAAATCTATGACCTGATATTCTTTTGTTAAGTGATCCCTTGGTTTCACCAACATAAACAAGTCCACAAAGATTACACTCTTTTCCGTAGAAAGCATAAAGAAGTTCACTTTTATAAGGATACCCACTTTCTTTATGCTATAAAGCATATTTTACAACTCTTAAAATAATATAACTGCCCTAAGTGAAGAAATATTAATATGGAAAGCACAAAGAAATTCACTTTTATGAGGATATCCACTTCCAACCCAATCTGGGGTTGAACGTTGTGCTGTTTATATTAATATTTCTTCATTTAGGGCAGTGCAGGGCTTAATGTGTCCGCAGATAGTTAAATTTGCTGGATGCCTTATATGGAATCAACTGGGATCAACCGAAGCCGATCCCAATAATGGCCTAACAATGTGTAAAAACGTCAGTCAACAATCGACGTAATGATAGATTTTATTTGAAGACAAGGTCATAGTATCGACGATAGAATTTGCAAAGTATTGGCTTGAAACGGGACTGTTTATATTTTTGTTTTTTACTTATTTGTCAAAAACTTGATTCGTTTTAGTAATTGTTCGTTGGTAGAACAAGCTCTTGCGAATCAGCTGGGACACATAAATCCATTTGCAGGTGACAATGGTACTTTCAAATTATGGTATTTAAAATATTTTAAATTAAGTTATTACTGAAATGTTACAACCTACATGTGGCATCTTGTAAATAAATCGCTGCATAGAGTATTCACATACTGGAGTATATGACATCCATACTTTTACATGACTGACCTTAGCAGATTTCGGTGATAGATAAGAAACAGCTATTGTCATTATATTTGTCTACGGAAAGATGGCCCCAACAATTATAACGATACTTGGTTTGAGTGCAGGTAATTCTTGTATTCTCTTCATTTTTCGGAATTCTTAAATTTAAAATTGAGAAATTTTTAGTACATGTATCTTTGTACGAAATTTTTTTTAGGTGACATTAAGGTATATTGCCTAACACTTCAAACAATAAAGAATCTGAATGTTGAATTAGAAACTGAAGAATGATTTCTATTTTATTTGATATTATGGATAAGTTGTCATTGTCTCCTCTCAACCTCCTCCTTGTCCTCATGGCTGGATAAGCCGTGGGTCCTCCTGTTACGTGTTTATCAGTGACACCCCAGAAGACTGGATGACGGCAATGGTAAGAGTTTTTATTTATTTTGTAGAAACTATTCTTAGATTTTCGCTCATTGAGTGGGTTTAGTGCTACATAGATAATTCAATATTGATAAAACTTTAAATTTACAACCGAAATAAGTGTTGTTTTCTCAGTAATATCTGTAGCTGTGAAGTGTAGGCTATGAGTAAAGATTTATCGATTTGAAAATATACAAGAGACTATACCATGGGAGGCGATCATAAGAATTTTTTTTTTCAAATTATCGTAAGTGTGAGTTTGCTTACCTTCATCCCGGTAGAGCTAATGAAAATTTCGAAAAATTTCTGCTCCTCCTTCTATTACTGAAACCTAGGAGCATGTCTTACTTCCTGTAAAAGCCTCTAACAAAATTGTCACGTGATCAGTGTGACCAGTTAAGACCTAACAGACAACCATCATAGGCATGACCTTCTAGCTTGATGTACTTCTGTATTCTTGTCAAAGCAGATAAACTACGTTTTATCTTTCTTTTATTTTATAATTTCAGTCATATTGCAATGTCCTCCATGCAAAGTTGGTGGAAATTGAATCAGTTACTGAGGACGAGTTCCTTCGCATACATTTAGCAGACAGCAAAGCCACAGGTTACTAGTAATGCAATTGAATTTGTCTTTTAAATTTGAAAATTTGATTAACTAATTTATTTTTCTTGTTTACTTTATATTGATTTTACCTACCCTTCACAAAGACGCATATTACACAGTTTACAAGAATTGTGCGGCAAACTGGTTGCAAACAAGTGTTTTTTTTGTAGCTTGTTTCTTAGGTACATGTCTAAACGTGCGTACATGTGAAGATTTTGTCATAAACTCTGTTAGACCTTTGTTTTAGGTGGATACTGGATTGGACTTTCTGACATCCTGGTAGAAGGAGACTGGGTATGGACATCTACTCAGTCGAACCCAACGTACAGTAACTGGAATCCCGGACAGCCAGACAATGTACATCATCATCAGGACTGTGCACAATTGTATGGACCGTATGGATTTCATTGGGACGATGGTTCATGCAATGATGCTAACAATTTTATATGCGAGAAAGCGTAAGCTATTAGAATAATTCACTTGCATCAGAAAATTCTGATTTGATGAGTCTTCTTTTCTACCTTAAATATTTTAGTGAAAATAAAATGATTCAGAGAATTTAGGCTAAGTGTATTACTTTAATTTTTTCTTAAAAAAACTATTAAATATTAGCATAAAAAAAAATAAAATAAATAAAAAATAAAAATTAGAATATGATGATAAATTTTATGACAAATATCTATTTTGCTACCTTTCTGTTCCAGAATAGACGATGAAACTGATGTCATCGGTTGAAATCATGATTAGCTTAAGAGCACAAACATTCAATTTATAATGATAATTTGATAACTGAGTTTCATATTAAATATTAATTAGTTCACATACAATACTTCTGAATAACTAACTGAAAATAAACTTTATTATGAATTTTGATATGAATTCGTAGTGTTCTTTAACAAAATAAAAAAACGAGGGATATTCCAAAAATAATGACACTTTGTTGTTTTTGCCCACATTTATTAATCCTTGATCCTTTTATTCGTTCCTGCCCTTCGAAGTACTCACCCTTAGCCTGGATACACTGTTTTAGACGATCAATCCACTTCTGGAATCATTTTTCATACTCCTAAATAGGGACACCCATCATATACTTACAAATTGCAGACCCAAGGGTATTTCGTGATATCTTTTTCCAGATAGGTGGAATTTTAGTTTTGGGAACAAAAAGAAGTCACACGGGGCTAAATCTGGGGAAAAGGGGGTGGAGTGGGGTGGGTTGGTAGGACAGTAACCTTTTACGTTTATAAATACTTCGTCACAATGCGTGCTTTGTGTGCAGGCGCGTTGTCCTTCAAAAGTCGGAGATACATCATACCCGTTTTAGGAATCATTTCATTGCTATTGAATTATTATGATACGATTCGTGGGTCAAAGCAGATAGACGTAAATTAAAAATATTTTAATTTGTTTTTTTGCTCTGTATACCATATCGATATTCACGACGTCAAGCGTGGCGTCGCAATATTTTATGAGGTAGTTCTTAAAAATGTTAAATTTTGCGATATAAAAGCAATTATCTACATTTATATTACGAGAAAACAAACCCTAAGACATATTAATTTTTTCACATAGATTTATTTCAAATCAATTATATTTTAAGATACCAAAGGGGGAACAGTTTCGACTGCACCATTTAAAAGTTAATGATATTTGTTGAAAAAAAAATCTTGCCTGAAAACGAGCCGAAATCGACGTTTTTCCTATATAATTCAATACAATAACGTCGAAAATGTTACAACAATGGCATCTTTGGGATTTAATTACATAAAAACGATGCAGACGAATTTTATAAAATTTTCAGAGAATGTAAAACAAAGGTAGAGGAATCATATAGCTAATTTTAATGGTATGTTTTCGGACATTTTTAAAATGCCCGCAAACCCGCGACCTACGTTAAACATATGTCATACGTGCAGTCTTCATGTTCCCGGTTTTAAAATAAAACAGTTCATACAAAAACATGAAGGAATGTAAAGTTTCTATTAGAGATAAATTTGACGATTCCTTTCCTGATCCCATGTCTTCTATTTCAAAATGTTCTGTCAAAAACTGTAAAACCTGTGATGTTTTTGATTGCAAGATCTTCATTTACTAAGTCTTGTAATCTTACGGGACAGAGCTTCTATACCAAAACTTTGGAAAATCGGAACGGCAAATCTTCTAATGTTGTCTAAGGAATAGAATGGACCCTTTGTGGGCTGATTATTTGTTGGTGAAACCAAGGGTTTACGTACTAAAAGAATATCGAAGCATAGATTCCAAATTAAGAATGGGGGCCAGCAGCTTCTTTACAAGCACTTTAATTTACCTGATCATTATATTTTGTCAATGAATGTTAGAATTCTAGAAAAGACTTACCATCATTCCAATAGCCCATCATTAAGTACACCATTTCGTAGACAACGAGAAGAATACTGGATTAGAAAACTAGGCACGACCTTTCCATGTTGTAGCAATGACAATGTCGATAGTGATGGGAATCTTTCAAGTTCATAGTGTTACAGTAGCAATGTTAATGTGATGGGACTTTTTAACAATGGACAGAGACGTAAGCGTAGTCATGGACATCGGTCTTACAATAAACCTATTATACACGATGTCTCTTTTGATTCACTACTACCTTAAGTAAATAAATAGTTTGGTCTTCATCACATTCGAACCAAACTTTATTGTTTCCCATTGACTGTTTTAATGGTCTTTTTTTTTTAAACAAACAAAGAAAGTCCATATTTGGATTCCCCGACACCAGAATACAGACTAAGGAGGAAATTCCTCAAAATCTGATGTCAGTTTTAAATATTTTTAACATTCCCTTTAATCAAAATGGAATTGAATCCAAAACTATACAAAAATCCCTACAACATTGATATATATATATATATATATATATATATATATATATATATATATATGACATATGGCTTTAGGAGACCAAGGAGGATATATTTTCTGGCTTAGGGAGACCACTGGATTAAGGCGACCTTTTTCGGTCTCCCTATTATTTTGACCTCATCAGTATTGCAAATGTCTTTTTATAGATAAATAAACAGTCTGCCATTAAATATTATTAATCTTTAACTCTGTTATTTAACATTCAAAAGTTGTCTAATTCCTATCATCTTCCCTAAAAAAGAAAAGAATGTATAACCTACGTATAATTTCAAAGGATAATTTTTCTGCATTTTGGAGACCATGAAAAACATGCAATTAAACAAAAAATCTAGCATATATATTTTTTCCGCTTTTGATATGTTCTAATGAGTGTTTCTTTAACTTAGTTTTCCACTTTTTATGTTAAAAACCTAAAAAGGAAAAATATTGTAAATTTATGGACCATGTTTTGAATTCTTAGCAAGTGCTTTCCGTCATTTGTTCCGAATGCCATCGGAATGCCTCTTCAGTTTTCAGAAAATGACCTCTGAACACCATGAATGTTGAGAAATTTGGGTAAGTAACTAAAATGATACAGTAATAAGTTGTAATTAAGAATACGCAAGACAAACATTCGTGTTTTTTTTGTTTTTGTTTTTGTTTTTTTTTTTTTGCCTAGTAATTTAGCTTTTAAGAGAAAAAGTATGATTTTAAATAATCATTAGACTATAGTTCGGTATATAAAATCCTGAAGGAAATTCGAAATAAAGTTAAATGATAGGCCCCTATATTTTTAATTCTTTTATGCAAGTCCACAAACAAATGCAGAAAATATTTAAAGATTAGGCCGAACGTAGAAAAAAATAGTCTCGCAAGTTGACGCAGCTATGTCGAGCTTAAAAATTTAAATTAAACTTTCTGTAAACATCATGCAGGACATGATCATCATGATATAGTATAAATGAAACAGACCCTGTAAGAAAAAAATAGCTGTAATTTAATAATTATTTATTAATATAATGTGGTCCTCTGCTGTTAAAATGCATATGCAGTAAAAAAAGGGTGAAGCAGATTTGATACAATACATGGCTGAAGGAACGTACGAAATGAAATTTAGGTATACTATAGAAAACATTGCTCCTTTATGTTTGGACTCCCTCAATAATAACCTCTGATGATCTATTTTTTACTTTTGCTTTTGGTCCCCCTAAATAATAACCTCTGGTAATGTATTTTTCTTTTGCTTATTAAGAAATCTTTAGTTTGTAGCCTCCCCCAACCTGAAACTGAAAAATGTTGTTTGGTTGTGCTCACCCCCCCCCCCTCCAACTAAATTACGTACGGGCCTACTCTCCATCCCTGAGGTTTTCTTTCACCAAAGAAAGATTAATTGGTAACAGTTCAGATATATAGCAATATTTACGGAAGGGAATATTCTCGTTAATTATGAAGATGTGACAGTAACTAAATGTTACACAGTGAGTGTAACATTTATTTAATATTATTGTAACAGTTAATGTTTACAAATAGTGAAATACTGATACTATGAAATTTTAATGGATATATAGAAAATATACAAGTACAACCATTATTGTAAACCACATACACGAAAAGCTTTTTTTTTTCCAAGCAATTGGAAATTCTTTACAAATCATTATCGCAGCCTAGTTCCCTTCATTATTTTCAGCAGTTCAGTGACGGAGATAAAATGATCATTTGGGGTTTATACCCCCCCCCCCTCCCCACCAAATGAAACTAAAAAATGTTTGGTTTTGGTCCCCTTCAACTGAAATTGATTCCTACTTACCATGCTTACAGGCTTAACTAAGATGTGACAGGGAGTGTAAAAACAATAATTGTTCAGACGGATACATAAGCTGATATAAATATCAAATTTTAATGGATAGATAGAAATTAATATACAATTACAACCATTTATTATAAACTACATAAAGATAATTTTTCAAGCAATTTGAAATTCTTCATTTTTTAAGATAATATTTTATTTCGTATATATATGTTTATAGGTTTATTCGTATCAACAAATCTGTGTACGAGTTAATAACGCACCCTGGGTTCCCTGCATTTTCAGTGACAGAGAACCAGATATAAGAATGCAGGGAAACAAGCCTTGTTACAAGGTTTGAGGTTTGTTTATTTTATATTTTAATTTACACTTTTTTAAAATTATTATGCAAAACTCTGTGTGCAGATGAATATTTACATTTTAATGTTATAAGTCGTTTGTTTTGTGGTTCATTTATTTGCGGTGACTGTCCCACGTGTGTTTACCTGTTTACATTCACCTACTGGTAACGGGACGTTTCGCCCCTATTGACGTTTCGCGCCCAGACCATTCGCCCCTAAAGACGTTTCGCGCCGAGACGTTTCGCGCCCAATTTAATCTACATTGTCTACAACGATATATTACGATGTTTTAAGATAAATATTTATATATAAGGTTAATATTGACTGTGTTAAAAAAAGTTCTAAGGTTACTAAAAACCTTTAATGTTTTAAAAGTTGTTGAAAATAGGCTTATACCATAATTAAATGTACAATTATCCATGTGCAGATATAATTATGTTTATTCATCAATCATAATTGTCTGATTCAGTTTTGTAATTAGGGTGTTATAACTATAATTTGGAGACTCTCCATGTTAAGATAAAGAGGAGAATTAAATTATGAGACGGGTGTCAAGTTCATTTTACCGTTGCTCAATAGCTAGGATGCACACTGACTCCAATTTTCTTTGCGATTTTGAGTAATGCTATATGCTATATAAGTGTAACAGGGGTGTCACTATGGAAGTATATAACACAACACTCCTGTCAGGGTTCATCAGATTTATTGCACAGTGGAGTGATTATA